TGAAGAAGACTTCCTTGGCAATTGTAACAACAACAATAATGAACCAAAAGGACTTAATTAAACTGAAAAACTAATACACAACAACTAAGGGAATAAGCTTAAAGCAAACAGCTTCAGAATGCAAAAAAAAGTTTACATGTTAGTAATCTTTTTTTCTTTTTTTTTGAGACAGAGCCTCAAGCTGTCCCCCTGGGTAGAGTGCTGTAGCTTCACAGCTCACAGCAACCTCCAATTCCTGGACTCAAGTGAGTCTCCTGCCTCAGCCTCCCAAGTAGCGGGACCACAGGCACCCGCCACAATGCCTGGCTATTTTTTAGTTGCAGCCGTCATTGTTGTTTGGCAGGTCCGGGCTGGATTCGAACCAGCCACCTCAGGTGTATGTGGCTGGCGCCTTAGCCACTTGAGCCACAGGTGCCGAGCCTGCATGTTAGTAATCTGACAAAGGCTTGATAATTAGTATCTACAGAGAACTCAAATTAATCTACAAAAAAAGGCAAACAATCCCACCTATCACTGGGCAAGAAACAGGAACAGAACCTTCTTTGAGGAAGACAGGTGAATCGCTAACCAACATAAAAAATTGTTCATTAACCTTCATCGTCAGAGAAATGCAAATCAAAACCAGCCTGAGATATTACCTAACTCCAGTAAGATTAGCCCACATCACAAATTACCAAAGTTGTAGATGCTGGCGTGGATGTAGAGAGAGATCACTTTTACACTGTTGGTGGGACTGCAAACTCATACAGTCTCTCTGGAAAGAAGTATGGAGAACCTTCAAAGAACTCAAATTAGACTTCCCATTTGACCCCACAATCCGACTACTAGGCATCTACCCAGACGAAAAAATATCATTTTATCATAAGGACATTTGTAGTAGTTTATCACAGCTCCATTTACAATTGCCGAGATGTGGAAACAAATGCCCATCAAGTCAGGAATGGTTTAACAAACTGTGGAATACTATTCAGCCATAAGAAAAGATAGTGACTTTAAATATTTTGTATTAACCTGGAAGGAGGTGAAACACATTCTTTAATCTAATATGAAACCAGTAGATGATCTAATACATGCCCACATAGGAGTAAAACTCAATTCAATTCAAGTTGAGGGGCAGGAATGGGGGAGAGGGATCGGGAGATTGGTGTATTCCCACTTAATGGGCACAATGTAGGGGTATATGGCACACCTTTTGCATGTGGGACACAACTATAAGAGAAATTCTACCTAAAAACTTCAAAAACTGTGACCTGGCTATTTGTACCCTCACATTAACCTGAAATAAAAAACCAAGACGATCATTCTGGCTGCAGTGAGGAGAATGAACTTGAGAAAGGGAAAAGAACAAGGAAGCTTCTGCAGTAGTCCAGGTGAGAAATGATAAGGACCTATGCCAGGACAAATAGCAGAAATAAAAGTGGGGAATGTATACAAAATATTTCAATAAAAATAAATAAATAAATAGTATGCCTTTGCCACTCAATAGATACTGAGGCAGGTAATAAGAAGACAAGGAAAACAGTCAAACTGAATCTCTAGGAAGGCATTCACTAAACGTTTTATATAAAAGGCCAAATAGTAGGCCTTTTGCTGATCTCTGTAGCAACTAGTTTCCCTTTATCCACAGTGGGTACATTCTAAGCCCCCAGTTGATGTCTGAAACCACAGAGAGTACTGAACCCTGTATACACACTATGTTTTTTATCCTATACATACACACTAATGGTAAAGTTCACTTTATAAATTAGGCATAAGAGATTAGCATCATTTGCTAATAAAATAGAATAAATGTAACAATACACTGTAATAAAATTTAAGTGAATCTAGTCTCTCTCCCTCTCTCAAATATCTTACTATATGATAATCATCTATTTTCAGACTGCAGCTGACTATGGGTAACTGAAACCTTGGAAGGAGAACCAGCAGATGAGGAGTAGAAGGACTTATGTACTCAACTCTTCCATTGTAATGCAGAAGCAGCCATATGTAAATGTGTGTGGCTTTTTTCCAATATAACTTTATTTATAATCACATCTGGTAGCCCAAATTTGGTCCCTGGGCCATAGTTTGGCAGTCTCTGTTCTAACTGGATGGTGAATGGTGATTCTACTAACTCAGTAGTTCTCAGAGCTTGGCTGTGGATTAACCTCAGATGGTAAACTTCAAAAACCTTATTGTCCAACAGATATGAATAGAAACTTCACTGATGAAGACACACAAATGGCCAACAAACATTTGAAAAACTATTCATCATCCCTGATCGTCAGAGAAACGCAAATCAAAACCACCCTGAGATATCACCTAACCCCAGTGAGAATAGTCCACATCACAAAGTCTCAAAGCTGCAGATGCTGGCGTGGATGTGGAGAGAAGTGAACACTTTTATACTGCTGGTGGGACTGCAAACTATACAACCTTTCTGGAAGGAAGTATGAAGAATCCTCAAAGAACTCAAATTAGACATCACATTTGATCTTGCAATCCCATTACTAGGCATCTACCCAGAAGAAAAAAATTCATTTTATCATAAGGACATTTGCACTAGACTGTTTATTGCAGCTCAATTTACAATTGCCAAAATGTGGAAACAACCTAAATGCCCACTGACCCAGGAATGGGTTAATAAACTGTGATATATTTATACTATGGAATACTTACTATTCATCCATTTAAAAAGATGGAGACTTTATATCTTTTGTATTAACCTGGATTGAGTTGGAACACATTCTGCTTAGTGGAGAAGCAAGAATCCAATGTACTCAATTCTAATATGAAGGCAGTAGATGATCTAATATAATGTGGGGAGTAGGGGAATGAGAGATGGGGAAAGAGGAGGAGAGAGGGGCATGGGGTCACTATGTATGGCACACCTTTTGGGGGCGGGACACAATTACAAGCCAGACTTTACCTAACAAATGCAATCAGTGTAACCTAATTCTTTGTACCCTCACTGAATCTCAAATAATAATAATTTATAATTCTCCTTTTTGTTTTTTTTGGTAGAGACAGAGTCTTACTTTATCACCCTTGGTAGAGTGCTGTAGCATCACACAGCTCATAGCAACCTCCAATTCCTGGGCTTAAGCGATTCTCTTGCCTCAGCCTCCCGAGTAGCTGGGACCACAGGTGCCCACCACAATGCCCGGCTATTTTTTGGTTGCAGTTCAGCTGGGACTGGGTTTGAACCCGCCACCCTCAGTATATGGGGTTATTGCCCTACTCACTGAGCCACAGGCGCCGCCCCAAAACAATAGTAATTTAAAGAAAACCTCCTTGCTCAGGCCACACCACATCATACCACATGCCAATTAAATGAAAATACCTTGAGGTGAGACTCAAGTACCAATACTTTTTAAGTGCAGACAAGGTTGAAAGCCACTGAACCAACTGCTGAACACTATGGAAAACTGAGTTTAGAAGCAAAAATGAAAAACTTAGTTTTGAATATGTTAAGTCCTAGTGGGTTTACGTGATATATCCAGCAGAGAGTCTAAGCAGGTAGGAAGATGGATATAAGATTAGAAGAGCCTGAAGCTCAGAGTAAATGTCTATACTAGAGACAACCCTGAGAGGCTGCAGCAGGTATGCAGGTGTTATTTACTGAAGCCTTAAGAGTTGATGAAGCCATTCTAGTGACCACATAGTGGACCATTCCCTAGGAAACAACAATATTTGGGAGCAAACCAAGATCTTGTATAGCTGGTGCAAGGCAAAGCTAGGGGTAGGTGTACAGGAACTGACTGTGTTCATGTACAGGTAAATATTACCAAACACACCTACACAAAACATGTCATTCAGGATTAATTATAAGTAATAACAGTGAAAGATGACCAGCTATTGGCAGAGCTGCCTTTTATTTATGCTAGTGTATACTATGGGAGAGGCCATGGAGAGAAATAGGCATCTGGGCTGGGGAATGATAACTCACTTGACTCTATTAATTGTTTTGTGATTCTGTTTCCTAAAAATAAAGGCATTTACTGAAGCCTGCCAAGTACTCAACATCAAATTAACTATCAATTCCCCTAACCAAAAACATACAAAAACTTAAATATTTCAGGTGATGAAAATGTATCATTTCAATAAAGCTAGGTTGCTGCACAGTTTATTATGTTGGTGCAATAGAAAAATTTATGGTAATGAACAAATTGTAGAAATACAATTTCAAATTTTAAAATAGTGCACAGAAGGGAAGCGTCTGTGGCTCAGTGAGTAGGGCACCGGCCCCATATACCGAGTATGACGGGTTCAAACCCAGCCCCGACCAAACTGCAATAAAAGTAAATAGCTGGGCATTGTGGCGGGTGCCTGTAGTCCGAGTTACTCAGGAGGCTGAGGCAAGAGAATCACCCCAGGGGTCTTCAAACTTTTTAAACAGGGGGCCAGTTCACTGTCCCTCAGACCGTTGGAGGGCTGGACTGTGGGCCTCGGGTCGAATCAGCTGCTAAGCAGGACAGGCAGCCGTGGCAAAAACACCCAGCAGGCCATATAAATGTCCTAGGCAGGCCACATGCAGTCTGCGGGGCCGTAGTTTGAGAATGCCTGGCCTAAGCCCAAGAGCTGGAGGTTGCTGTGAGCTGTGACGCCACAGCACTGTACTGAGGGTGTCAAAGTGAGACTCTGTCTCTTTAAAAAAAAAAAATAGTGCACAGAATTTGTGGAAAGAGTTCCTATACAAAGTTTCTAAAAAATCTGAATTGACAACCAGGCTAATTTAGAAAGATAGGAAAAATAAACTTAAATTCATGGGTTATAGGTACAAGATGAATGACGATGAAATTCTAAAACTGAATTATTAGCTAATTGTGTTCTAAAGGACATATAGAAATGAACTAATCAATAATTGTATTATGATGCTTGAACATTTTTATTATTGGAGAAAACCCATGTATTAAATCAAAAACAAAGAATCTGAAAGATTGAATTTTATTATCATTCAGCCAACTCAATATGGTAAGTAAACATCTCAAATAATTATTGAAATTATCCTTTTTTCTCACCTCATCATTTTCATTCCCACTTGAACTCTTCCTTGTTGATTTATACTGAAAAATATTAAAAGCACATACTTTATTTTTCCTTGAACATGAATTCTCCACTAGCAAATTATGTGTGAAGTTTATTCATATTTTGGCACTTTTATTAAATTACTTGATATTAAGTTTAAGTAAATAACAAGTTTTTTTTTTTTTTTTT